TGACATAACAATTTATTTAGTTTACAAATAAAATCAAGTAACTGGATGAATTCTCAAAAAATTCTATATCTAAGTTCAAAATGGCAAACAAGCAATACAACATAGGTTTTATAATTTTTTTTTGACACTAAAATATGAAGATTACTCTGTATGTAAGTGCATAGTAGTTCATGTACAAAACCTACACAAACACATACATGTAGGTGTGTCAGTATACCTACAGTCAAAATACAATATTTCCATCCCTGTAAAATCTGTGATAAATTGTGACCTTCATTCAATCTACTGATTTCCTTTTCAGGACCAGGGAAATATAGATTCTGGACAGAAGCAGTGCATCAGCCACTTTACCATGAATAATGCAGTCACTGACTCCATGTCTGACTCCTACTGTCTGTGTCCCTCTCACAGCCATTTGTAGCTATATATGTACAATATTTAATATAGGGAGTGTTTCCAGCAAATAAAACAGTCATGCAGTCATGAACAGATACATGTATTATAAATTTAATAACCTTTATTGTACATTCATGCCCTATCGGGCTAAGTACAGGTGAACAGATGAAAAGGTATATACATGTTTGTAGTACAAAGAGCTCTAAAATTACTCTAATACAGATGTTCGGCTTCTTCTCGTTTGTTTGTGATATTAAAAATATAAACATATTATAATAAGGATTGGGGCTGAACAATGATAAATTGTATTCCTTTACTAGGTTATTACAAGACTGTTTTCCTAGAATTTGACAATGCATGAAAGGGAAGCATTTCTTTCCCAATTATAAATACAACACCATGTGGTCATATATCATCATCATCAGGTCGGGGGTGGTTCCCGGTCCCAGACTCTCTCCCTCCAGTCTATTCTGTCCATGGATATATATATACATGTATATATTCATGAGCTAAGCCCAAATAGTCATTGTTGAATATAGTATTTGCTAACAAATAATGTGAGCAGGATATGAATACAGCTGTTTGAAATGTGGTATATACATACTCTCATGTCCCTAATAAACATACCCCCCGGAATAAACATACCCCCCGGACAAATCTTCAAAGTCTAATAAACATACCCTCCGGAATAAACGTACCCCCCGGAAAATGACCAAATTGACAGGTGAACTGTGTGTCCATGATACTAAAATGTGCTCTTTATTTCAATACCAATATATGGGCAAATCTTTCACTGTTACATTTAATTAGTGAGTATATATCACTTTAATTAATGAGTATATATATTGTACTTGTTTTGGGGAAATACAAAATCCGTAGGAGAAGCTATTGCATTTTACACTTCTGAAATGCACTTTGCTAAGCCTTCTCCTGCAACTTGAGTTGAAAATCTGACTAACTTAAGAGATAGAAAATCAAGCCCAATTAAGTACAAATATAGGGGTTTAATGAGTATATGTACAACAAAATCCATTTCAACATAATAATTATTTGGTATGGTACATTCTCTAGTCTGGTCAAAGTCTGGATTCTGAAGAAGAAAAACTTCTGAAGAAAAAAACTTTTGAAGAAAAAAAATATTGTTCAGCATAAAATTTTGATTGGTTTCCATCTCATTGTTTTTTTAAAAATCGATAATGTGATTGTATCAATTTTAAACGCCCTAAAATTAGCTAAATCGGCGCTTTTATGGTGATTGCGCAATATGGGTGCCCTATGACCTTTGACTTTTTACGGGTCATGCTGCTCAGGCGCTAGGCGCCCTCCCCACGTCGGCCGTCCGTCTTGTGGGCAAATTTCTACTTTTTTAGGGGTTTCGGGACCTAAAAACTAACACCAGAGGGAAAATAAACCACATACGTTTTTTTCATGGTAAATATCGCTAAAATGGACCAGGCATTTTTCTGCCGCGTTGCCGATTTTGACAAGGACTTGCGGTCGCCATGTGCTAAACACGTCGATTAGCTACTCGCCTTCCCCTTCGGTTTTGTGGGCAAATTTTTGCTTTTTCAGACGTTTTGGGACTTAAAAATGGACAGCAGGCGAAAAATAAATAATATACATTATATTCATGGGAAATGCCGCTATCATGGACCAAATATTTATCTGTGACGTGTTGCCGAATTTTGCGGCCGCCGGCCACTTGCTGATGGTGCGGTACGTATGGACAATTTTTTCCCAGAAATTAATAAACGTACCGTCCCTAATAAGAGTGTACCGGGTGGACGTTCGGGCCGAAAAAAATAAACGTACCGGTACGTTTAATCGGGACATCAGAGTACATGTATATATTCATGAGCTAAGCCCAAAAAATCATTGTTGAATATAGTATCTGCTAACAAATATGATATGAATACAGCTGTTTGAAAGAGCACCTAATGTTATTGATTCCTGTTATTTTTGGTACCATATACAGATGTATACCATACATCAGACCAAAGCTACCTCTTCAAAGTAAAGACAAGAAATCAAGGAATTCACAAGGAATCCACTCTGTGGATTATTTAGAGATGTTTTAAATTCCTTGTTGTTTTTTTCATTATTGTGAATTTCTCAATAGTTCTGCATTATAATTCTTATGCATTTTTCCAGTATAAGGCCCAGATCACAGTGGCTATGAATATAGCAGGATCAATCTTTAAAATGACCTTTCATATGAAAATGCATTTCCTCACAGCCTGGAGGGAGACCATTTTAACCTCCAAAGTCCAATGCCACCTTCTTCCAGTCTGCGGTTACCCCTCTCTTCCTATATACATGTGACTCTACTGTATTCAAACAGCTACAGACATACAAGCAAACAAACAAACCAAACAAACACATTGAAAGCAAAACCTCCATACACGAAGGTAACAAGGCAAAATTGGGAGGGATGTTGTCAAACTATACTCCTGCCT